GGGTTACTGTCCACTGGGTCATAAAGAGTCAGACACGACTGAAATGACTGAGTGTGCACACACATACACACACACACACAGCTTGGCACATCTAGACAAATATCTGAGATACTGTTCTGGAAGAAATAGCCTCCTTTTAAACTGTGATACCACCTAAGAAACTCCAGAAACTTTCTGTTCCATTTAGACCCCAGAGAGAAGAAGCCTCAGAGTCCATTTTAAGAGCCTAGCTTATCAAACCCAGGTCGTCCACCTAGTAAGCGTTCAAAGTATCATCCAACCCTCATCCCATCACTCCCTTATTTTAATCTACTCTTCTTTCCTTATTTGCCAATCTTTTCCTCTTTTCTCCAAACAACCCTTCTTGCTTTCATTATATACCCTGCAATTCTTCACTCTGTTGCCCTGAACAAATTACTGCCTTCCACCAGGAATACTCTCATCCCTTCTTTCAAACAGCCCACTGTCATAACCCATCTCCTCAAAGAGCTGGCTTAGAACTATCTAATTAGCATTAGCCTTCTCAGACCAAACACACATCGGGCATATTTAGTGTCATAACATGTATTATATTCTCTGTGTTCTTATTATCTTATCTGATCACCAGGTTGAAGCTTCCAGTTCAAGACTATGATTATCAATGTTTTCCCCCACTGTGGTGTAAGTCAATGCTTTGTACATGGCAGATGTTCCATAAATATTTGTGAACTAAAAAGAAGGTGATTTTCAAAATGTTCAATAAACATATGCTAATATAGAAATGATTTTTGTTAAAGTAGAGCTAGTTTGTGGGTCCACTTTTCAAACACAATAAATTGATGATATAGCCAAGTGCTATGGGCTGAATGCTTGTTGTTGTTCAGTCACCAAGTCATGTCCAACTCTTTGCAACCGCATGAACTTCAGCATGCCAGGCCTCCCTGTCCCTCACCATCAACCGGAGTTTGCCCAAGTTCATGTGCATTGAATCGGTGATGCCATCCAACCATTTCATCCTCTGTTGCCCTCTTCTTCTGCCTTCAATCTTCTACAGCATCAGGGTCTTTTCTAATGAGTCGGCTCTTTGCATCAGGTGGTCAAAGTATTGAAGCATCAGCTTCAGCATCAGTCCTTCCAATGAATATTCAGGGTCAGTGTCCTTTAGGATTGACTAGTTTGATCTCCTTGCAGTCCAAGGGACTCTCAAGAGCCTCCTCCAACACCACAGTTCAAAAGCATCAATTCTTCAGTGCTCAGCCTTCTTTACGATCAAACTCTCACATTTATACATGACTACTGGAAAGACCATAGCTTTGACTATGCGGACTTTCATCAGCAAAATGATGCCTTTGCTTTTCATTACACTGTCTAGGTTTGTCATAGCTTTCCTTCCAAGAAGCAAGTGTCTTTTAATTTCATGACTGCAGCCACCATCTGCAGTGATTTTGGACCCCAAGAAAATAAAGTCTCTCACTGTTTCCATTGTTTCCCCATCTATTTGCTGTGAAGTGATGAGACCGGATGGCATGATCTTAGTTTTTTAATGTTGAGTTTTAAGCCAGCTTTTTCACCCTCCTCTTTCACCCTCATCAAGAGGCTCTTTAGTTCCTCTTTGCTTTCTGCCCTTAGAGTGGTATCATCTGCATATCCCAGGTTGTTGATGTTTCTCCCGGCAATCTTGATTCCAGCTTGTGTCCCCCTAAATTCATACATTGAAATCTTAACCCCCATTGTGATGGGGTTAGGATGTTGGGCCTTTGGAAGGTGATGAGGTCATAAGGACTCCCCTCATGGATGGGATTAGTGCTCTCATAAAAGAGACTCCAGAGTGACCCCTCACACCTTCCATCAGAGAAAAGAAAGCCGCCTCTGAACCAGAAAGGGAGCTTGCCTAGAACAGAGAATTGGCCAGTGCCATGGTCTTGGACTTCCCAGCCTCTGGAGCTGCGAGAAATAAACATGTAACGCTTATAAGCCACTCAGTTTATAGTATTTCTGTCAGAGCAGTCCAAATGGACTAAGACAATAAGTAAACGAGTGCTACGTAAAAAAGCTCGCTGGCCGTCACATCTCGGCCTCTGCTCCTCCTCCCACTTCCTGACTGCGGTAGCAGGGGCCAGCCAGCACTGAGCGAGTGCACCCCCTTTGCTAAGTGCCAGGCACACTTTATGCCATTTAACCTGAAGAGGTAGAAACTGCTGGGCTCAGTCATGCTCGGCTCTTTGCAACCCCCTGGGCTGTAGCCCACCAGGCTCCTCTGTCCATGGGATTCTCCTGGCAAGAATACTGGGGTGAGTTGCCATGCTCACCTCCAGGGGATCTTCCCAACTCAGGGATCGAACCTGGATCTCTTACGTCTCCTGCATTGAAGGAGGATTCTTTACCACTGAGCTAGCAGAGAAGCCCAAGAAAAGAGATTGCCCAATGTGGGGCTCGAACACACAACCCTGAGATTAAGAGTCTCATGCTCTACTGACTGAGTCAGACAGGCTCTTTTATTAGCATTTGCAGAGGAAACAAACTGAGGCTTAAAAGAGGCAAGCAATTGGCTCAGAATCACATTTTTAAGTGAAAAGTTGGCTTCTTAAAACAGATCTGTCTGATTTAAACAATTGTGGATACTGAACTAAGAGGAAAGGATAGGAAGAAGTGGGAGGAAAGTACATGCAAAAGAAAATCATTTAGAGATGTTTTGCAGAACGCCATCCAGCCAGCTCTTCTGAACGGTAGTGGCTGCAGGGCCATGGGCCCAACCCTCCCTTAGGATCCAGGAAGGCACACACTCCCCAGGAGGGATGGGTGGCTGCTGATGGCTCCCAGCTAAGCCCCAACCTGGGAACCACCAGTGGCAGAAGGGAGTTGCCTCACCCTTCGTACAGCCCCACTCATGGCTGGTAGGGTACAGGGGTGCAAAAATCCAGTGCCTTGCCTCATCTGGGGACAGCTTTGAAGGGCCACCCCAGATTCAGCAGTCCCCACGGCATCGGCCAAGGCCTCTGATGGTGGTGGTATTTTAGTCATTCAATCGTGTCTGACTTTTGCAACCCCATGGACTGTAGCCCGCCAGGCTCCTCTATACATGGGATTTCCCAGGCAAAAATACTGAAGTGGGCTGCCATGCCCTCCGCCAGGGGATCTTTCTGGCCTCTTCTATAAATATAACACCCCAGCTCAGCATTTCCAACTCTCGGATTCTGTCTTCCTCTCTTACTTTTGTTATTCCTAAGAGCACTCAAAAAATTCCCCTGCAGGCACATCTCTGCCACTGCACCTGTTTCCTCGGAACTGCCTGAAGACACTAGCCAATCCTGAGAAAGCAGCAGTCTGGGTCACAGTCTGTGCTTAGACCTAAGAGCGGGAGAGGGATGCTGGAACAGTGCATGCACATCTCCCCGTCCAGTGTCCCCAGGGAAGCCCTGTGACTCAGACAGAGCCTGAATCTGTGTCCTTCACCCTAATGTTCCCTTGGGCTCCGATCGGTGGACTTCCCTATCCCCTTCTCCCATCAAGCACCAAAGGAAGAAATTAAAACAAAAGAAGAAATTCCACTTATTTATTTATCTACCCAGTAAGAAGGACAGAGAAGCCTGGCATGCTGCAGTCCATGGGGTCACAAAGAGCTGGGCATGACTTAGTGACTGAACAACAACTCAGTTTGAACATATATTTGAGCACCTATAATGCTGAGCAGGCTACGAGCTGGGTAGAAGAGGGATTGTTTTAGGTTACGGGCGGCCACCTTAGCCCTCCGGAACCAACCTCAGTGGTTGATTCCACTGACCTCTGAGACTTTCACCATCCATCTGTGTCCCAGCTCCCCTGAGGCTGCACCAATTTTATGCTGATTCTATACGGTCACTGGCAGTTGGTGAATTACTAGACTGCAGCAGGAGAAAGTGGGGCTTCCCTTGTGGCTCAGATGATAAAGAATCTGCCTGCAATGTGGGAGACCCAGGTCCAGTCCCTGGGCCAGGAAGATCCCCTGGGGAAGGGCATGGCTACCCACTCCAGTATTCTTGCCTGGAAAATCCCATGGACAGAGGAGCCTGGTGGGCTACAGTCCATGGGTTCGCAAAGAGTGGGACGTGACTGAGTGACTTAACAGTTTCACTTTCCCAACAGGAGAAGCTACCGAGTGGCTATGTCCCCACTGCTGCCACTCCCCCAGGATGAAGTAAAATCCAGAGGCTTTTTATACGAAGTTCACTTCTCCAGAAAAACAAAGAAGTAAGCAATCAGTTCCTCTTCTGCTCAGCTGGAAAGCACACTAAAAGCTTTTTCAAAGACACTAGATGATGGCTCAGAAGAGGCAGAGCCTTTTAAATCCAGTCTACCCTGCTACTCAGCACAGGTATATTTATTTTGGGACAAGTCCATCATGAAGGGCACACAGGAAAAAGTCACAGTGGGTGGAGGTTTGGAGGGTATCTACTCTCTGTCTGAAAGATTCATGTCGGCTGAAGGGGGCAAAAGATGGGAGATGTTGTTTCTCATCTTCTCACGGATCAAGAAGGAACACTGGGAGGGCTGCTCGGCTTGTCACGGGGAATATGTGCAGCTAGGAGGCAGCAGGCTCAGTGGCAATGCAAGACGCTGGGGACTCAAGGACAAAGAACTTAAACTGCCGACCACTACTGTTAATCTTGGGAAGAATCCCTGTATAAGCCACTTAATCTTTTCTTAGACTTTTTGTTTTTTAAGTGCAATAAATACAGCAGATTGTTTCACAGTTTGTTATGCAGAATGATTAATAAAACACGCAAAACTGTCTATCCTACACTGCTCATCAATAATTCCTAAAAATAATATAAACTCTTCCATTGGCAGTACAAATGTAGCTTTTAAAATTCGATAGACGTGTTTTCATTAAAAAGCTAAGATTTGAAATACTTTCATGAGGATTCTTAACACACACAGATACATACCAGGGGAACTACAGATAGAAAATAGGCTGAAGTCTGACTTACCAGGGATGGTGAAAGGAGCCTTCAGGTGTAACCTAGAGCTCTGGGATAATTTACCTGGATATACTGCCACAGATGACGGAGCACGGTTCCGTGTTGTGCAAGTACTGGATGGCTTTACATGTTCCTATTAATACACTGATTCGAATGTGCCAAGAGAGTGGGTCTGTGTTACCCTGAAAAGACAACAGTGGTTGGTTTCGTTGTACTTTCTGAGTAAAAACCATGTTTGTATTCACTACCTAGGTGCATGCCAGAACAAACTCTAAAGACAAAGTGGGGAGAGGTGGGTGAATCAATATTTTAGTTAACCATAACCTATTTTTAATCCAAGATGGATTTTCCTCTATTACCCATGCTGGTTCTAAGTCCCTTTATAGGCAATGGAAATATCCAATAATTTTAATGTCATATAAATTGAAATATGGCTAATAACTATGCTTAAAATTTCATTGTGTAAGATTTTTAGATTATTTGTGGTACAACAGTGTGGGTAATTAAGAATAATCTGTTTTTATTCTCATCGTAACTGCAATTTTACATATTTGTAATATGTTTTTTAACTTCTCTTTCAAAAACATCATAAGAGAAACCATGGCATTTATTCAACCTTCTTCTTTTTAAGTGATATAGGTATCACTTTTATGTCTACCCTTCATATTGAATGGTACTTTGCATAAAGTTATGCAAATAAAAATTACCTGGGAAATAATGGTAGTTGACAAACTCATTTGAGACATGGTACCAGTGAGGAGTGAGGACCCAGAAACTCTTTTGACCACCATTTAGCACAGCACACAACAACTCGGGTATTTATGCAGCCTTCTAAGAGTAAGAAATTAATTCATGGAGAAGTCCTCTACATCCTTGGGAAACCCACTGTTGGCGTCCCAACATGAACACATGTTGGCCTCCTGGTTCTCTCAGAAGGTTTCAGCAGCTCCCCCAGGGCTTAGAGGGTCAGAATATCAGGCAGAGGGATGGATATGACTTACCACACACTGTAATCTGTCAAAAAGTGATCCATTTCTCATATATGGATAAACCAGGCAAAACTTCTCACTCTCTGTAAAATATGCAGCCAACTCCAGTATGTTCGGATGGCGGAACCTTGAAACAAAAGATTTTTTAGGTCTGTCAAACTGGTTATTCAAATAGGAAATGAACAACACTGTTTGGGGGGCGGTAAGGTGGGCTGTGGAACAGGCATAAAGCAGAATATAAATTTGGCCGAGGGAGAGGGAATTTCACTGGACACATGACTGTTTTCCTTCCAAACGGGCTTACGGCATTCGAACAAATGGGCTTCCCAGGTGGTGCTGGTGGCTAAGAACCCAGTTGCCAGTACAGGAGACATAAGAGACATGGGTTCAGAAGAGCCCCTGGAGGCGGGCACAGCAGCCCACTCCAGAATTCTTGCCTGGAGAATCCCATGGACGGAGGAGCCTGGTGGGCTACAGTCTGTAGGGTCGCAAAGAGATGGATACGACTGAAGTGACTTACCACACACACACGCACACAGTCTAACAAATACTAGTTAATATCCAAATATGACAGAAATGTTCAGAAATGAGAGTTCTTAAGATTTGGGGTGTTGGGAGCTTTACAATATAGAAAACAATATTCAATATTAACTTATTTTTATCAACATGAAACCCACTATAACTTATTTTTTACATAAATAAACATAATGCAACTGAAATGATCCATTTCATTGCTTTCAGTATACATGTGCAACTAAAATCACCAAAATAGAAGAGTACGGAAGACTGTTTTCATTTATCCATTTATTGAATGCTACTGTGTCAGGGACTAAAGTACTAGGCACCAAGTCACACAATTAAGAGACATCCAACACTTTCATGAAGTTTGTTTTGTTACCTAAGATCCATGTGATTAGTAAAATCTGATGTTGAAAAACACACCACTGATTTTTAAATCATAGAATTTTATGTCCGTATCATATACATTTTTCAGGTTCCTTTTTAAACTATTTCTTGAGGGCATGTATCATCACAGTGAAAACCAAGGTAACCCATATAACAGCTATGAAATATACAGCATGTGAAAGTCACACATACTGTGAACTCAGTTCGACAATTATTTATTGAACACCTTTTATGTCTTAGGCAAGCTTTATTGTTGTTTAGTCGCTAAGTTGTGTCTCTTTCGCGAGCCCATGAACTGTAGTCCACCAGGCTCCTCAAGGCACGCTTGGGGATATTAAAACAAATAAAGCTATTTTTAAAAAAAATGGTGCTATATATATAAAGTCCAATTATTCATTTCTTCAGTTGTAAAGCTTACCTATGAAACATGTGTGTATACACACACATCTATATAATACATACATATATATTCTTGGGCTTTCCTGCTGGGTCAGACAGTAAAGAAACCACCTGCAATGCAGGAAACCTGGGTTCGATCCCTGGGTTAGGAAGATCCCCTGGAGGAGGGCATGGCAACCCATTCCAGTGTTCTTGCCTGAAGAATTCCATGTACAGAGGAGCCTGACAGGCTACAGTCCATGGGGTCGCAAACAGTTGAACCTGACTGAGCGACTAAGCACATATGTAGCCCTTCTGAGTCCCTCTGTTCCTACTTCAAGAAAGGGAGTGTGGGTGTATGTATGTGTGTACGTGTGTGTGTGTGTACATAAAATACACAATCCATTAATCCAAAAAAACTCATGCTCAGGTCTCAGCTCAGATTTTACTTTTTCCAAGATGTCTACTCTGCCACCCACCCCACCCCCAAGTTAGCATCTCCTCCTCCCTCAGCACTCTGGGTGTATGTGAGCACGCTCGGTCATGTCCGACTCTTTTGTGACCCCATGGACTGTAGCCCACTAGGGTCCTCTGTCCACGGGATTTCCCAGGCAAGAATACTGGAGTAGGTTGCCACTTCCTTCTCCAGGGGATTTTCCTAACCCCAGGGATTGAATCCATGTCTCCTGCATTGCAGGCGGATCCTTTACCACTGAAGGATCCTTTCCCATCAGGGAAGTCCTCGGCCCTCTGTACCTGCTTATTATTTAACTCACTGAAACTATCTGTTGTTTGTGCACTTCACTCCTAATTCCACTCCAGACAGTATGTTCTAACGCCTCTGACTTATTTACCAGTAAAAGTCTAAGAAGAGAAAGGGTGAGTATGATTTAGGAAATAAGTTGGATCTTGCAAAAAAAAAAGTAGCATCTAACTCAGTTTCCTCATCTACAAAATGAGGATAATAACAGGACTCACCTCAGGCCTGTTGTGAGGATTAAAGAATGAATACATATGAAGCACTTGGCATAGGGTTAAAACTAAAGAAATATTAGCAACATAAATGACAATGATGGCATACCAGAAACACCCAATGCCATAATGTTGTTAGTTCTCTCTAAAGTTAATACATAAATGCCTCAGCAGAATAAATCCAAATGGATCAGGTATATAAGTGAAAATATAAAGGTACTTGAAAAAATGGCAAAATTATTTTAAAACCTCTCAGTTGGGGAGGTCTTTAAACTATAATATAAAACCTAGAAGCCATAAAAAAAAATAGATTAAATCCAACTACATGAGAACCATCTCCAAATGGCAAAAAACTAGAATAAGCAACAACAAATGAAAATGGGGTAAAAATAATTATTTGTATCTTAAAACATAAAAATAAGGCTAATTTTCTCTAATATATGAAATGCTCTGACAAACTATTAAGGAAAAAACCCAACAGTCTAGTTAGTGGGAATGTAAATTGATACAGTTTCTATGGAGAACAGTATGGAGATTTCTTTAAACTAGGAATAAAACTAACATATGACCCAGCAATCCCACTACTGGGCATATACCCTGAGCAAATCCCAATTCTAAAAGATACATGTATTCATTGCAGCACTATTTATAATAGCCAGGACATGGAAGCAATCTAGATGAATGGATAAAGAAGTTTTGGTACATATGTACAATGGAATATTACTCAGCCATAAAATGGAATGAACTCGGGTCGGTTGCAGTGAGGTGGATGAACCCAGAGCCTGTTATACAGAGTGAAGTAAGTCAGAAAAATAAACACAAATATCGTATATTAACACATATATGAAAGTGAAGGGTATCTAGGAAAATGGTACTGATGAACCTATTTGTAGGGCAGTAATAGAGATGCAGACATAGAGAACAGACCTGTGGACACAGTGGGGGGAGGAAAGGACGGGGAAAGCTGAGAGAATAGCATTAAGACAGACGCAATACTATATTAAAACAGATAGCCAGCGGGAATTTGCTGCATGACGCAGGGGGCTCAACCTCCCTCTAGTTACAAATCAGAGCGGTCAGATGGGGTGGGAGGTGGAAGGGAAGTTCAAGAGGGAAGGGACATATGTATATGTATGGCTGATTAATGTTGATGTATGGCAGAAACCAACACAATATTGTAAAGCAATTATCCTCCAATCAAAAACAGATTCAGAGAAGGCAATGGCACCCCACTCCAGTACTCTTGCCTGGAAAATCCCATGGACAGAGGAGCCTGCTAGGCTGCAGTCCATGGGGTGGCTAAGAGTTGGACACAACTGAATGACTTCCCTTTCACTTTTCACTTTCATGCACTGGAGAAGGAAATGGCAACCCACTCCAGTCTTGCCTGGAGAATCCCAGGGATGGGGGAGCCTGGTGGGCTGTCGTCTATGGGGTCGCACAGAGTCAGACACAACTGATGCAACTTGGCAGCAGCAGCAAAAACAGATTAAAAAAAAGAATCCAACAGTCTAATAAAAAATGGACAAAGGACATTAACAGATATTTCACAGAAAAGGAAATAAATCTCTTTATATGTGAAAAGATTCATTCATCATAGAAAAAGAAATTTAAACTACACTGAAAAACCATGTCCACTTAGCAGATCAGAAAAAACTGAAAGAATAAATGCTATATTGGCAAGAATATAGGGAACCAAGCACTCTTATATATGACTGGTGTTAACTGTAAACTAGTATAGTTTCTACATGGTGGTGGCATGGAACATGACCCTATAAGTTTATTTATATGAAGTTTTCTTAGATATACTTCAACACTTACAAAATAACAATATACAAGGTTTTCTCACTGTAGCCTTATTTTAAGTAAAAGATTAGGAAAAATCTAAAAATCCATTGATGGGAAAATGGTTAGTTATGCTATAGCACAGGCACACAAAAGTGTAAATGAAAGTCGCTCAGTCATGTCCTACTTTTTGCAACCCCACGGACTATATAGTCCATGGAATTCTTCAGGACAGAATACTGGAGTAGGTAGCCTTTTCCTTCTCCAGGGGATCTTCCCAACTTAGGGATCGAACCCAGGTCTCCCGTATTGCAGGCAGATTCTTTACCAGATGAGCCACAGGGAAGCCCCAAAATACTGGAGTGGGTAGCCTATCACTTCTCCAGGGGATTTTCCTGACCCAGGAATTGAACTAGAGTCTCCAGCATTGCAGGCGGATTTTTTTTTTTTTTTATCAACTGAGCTATCAGGGAAGCCACAGCACACAATGGAATACTAAAATAAGCAACATAAACAATGTGTGCATGCTGCCTCTTGTGTGAGAAGAGGAAAGTAAGAAAACAAAATAAATATATGCTTACAAATAAAATATTTCTGGAAAGATATACAGGAAACTGATAACACTGTTGCCCTTGGGGAAAGTGGCTGGGTGGCTGGATGAGAGTATGGAAGAAACTCTCTTCTTGGCTTACCCTTCTGCCCTTTTGGAATTCTGGAGTGTCTGAACTTATTATTTATTCATAAGCAAAGAAATAAAGCTTAAATATAAAAACTTTCTTATTACAATTTTGGTTTTAGTTTTTTTTGTTGACTAAATGATATATTAAGTTTTTATGCTTAGCCTCTAACATTTTGATTTCTGGTCTTGGGTATAAAAGGAAAAGAATTTAGGATAATACCTCCCTCCCCTGAATTCACATACTGGTTTAGAAAACATCTGAAAAGAACATTTTCTATCCGTAAAGGGTGATGACTGAACTCTATAGGGTTAGGGGCCTTCCATGAAGCAGGCTGCACAGCTGCAGATATGAATATATATGAAAATGAAATCATTTTAGTTTGTCTCCAAGGACTTTCAGGCTCGTGAATGAATTCCCAGGAAATAATATGCACATCAAAAGCACTTGATTTCTTTGTCTAAACTCTCTTCCAGAAGAGGTTTATATTGATGAAACAGTTTCTTGACTGGAATGTCTCTTAAGAAAGAGGAGCGATGGTAAAATATATACAATTCTAATGTTCTAAGAATCATTTCCCATCCAGTCATGTTAGTCACACACGATTTAATCCACTTCCCTGTGACAGTTTCTTGTTAAAATATGCTCAAGTGAATTATGTAAATAGTCTATTTTAAAATGTATTCCAAAGAATATACTAAAGCAGATGTCAAAAATTTACCCAGTGTTCTAACCTCCAACCCGCATTTATTAAATGCCAACCATGCCAAGCTCTGTGCTGTAGAATCAAAGATGAACAGAGATGAAAGCCAGGCACAAGGGGAGAAATTTCAAGCAATATACTCACAGTAGTAAAACTTCAAGCTCAGACAAAAACCTCTTCCATTGTTTCTTACACTGCATCTTTTTCCCCTAAATACAGAAAAACAAGAAAAAATAAATAAATAAAGGATCTACTTCTGATACTCTTAACCTGGGGTCTATGAAATTAGATACTTTTTGGTATAAACACATGTGAACGTTTTTCTGGGGAGAAGATCCTTAGCTTGTATTAGTCTTTCAAAAACCCATTAACGCCAAAACTGATTTAGAACCGCTGCTTCTGAATTAGAAGTTTTTCATGAAATGTATCAGATTGCTACATTTTATATTTAAACCCTTTCACCTTATTTTGTACACATTTACATAAATTCGGAAATATTTTATGTAGTCAAAGAAAAATCTCATGACAGAAACTCCCCACTTGGTCTCAAAGAATCCAGGTTGTGATCCTACTTAGAAGTGATTTCAAAAGTAATTAGCCTCCAACTAATAAATATAAATGAAAAAAAAAAAAGAAGTGATTTCAATAATTTCCCATTCATGACTTGGGTCACTTGGCTGTTGGTTTAAGTTTACCTTTGTATTAATTTTGAAAAAAGAGGTCCACTAGAAAAATGAAAAATTTAACTCTTTACTTCAAAAAAGCTTCAGAAGCTAGCCCAGTGCCTGACATATGGACAAATCAATGAATTCAATAATATTATCTGGAGGACTTCTTCTGTACCTGGCACTGTCTTTGATGGCTTCCTACATCTTACAGCGTTGCATGTCTCTGAACCTCAAATGCCTAACTTCTCCCATGAAAGGGTTAAAGTGTGTTCCAGTTACCATATGTAAATTGCTAAAAAGGGCAGAGTTTTTAGAGTCCTCTGTCCTTAGGAACAAAGGGAGAGAAAGCCAACAGGAATCCTGGAAGCTATTTTCTAAGTTAACCCAAGAAGTCAGAAACAATAAACTCGGCTAACAAATCATTTTCAGGGACCACATTATGGGAATTTAGATTAAAAAAAAAAACACTGTACTGAGAACCAAGCAGCCTGTGTCTCAGGCCTACCTCTAACACTCACTATTTGTGACTTATTGTTGCTCAGCCTCCCTGGGGTCCGAGTTTTCTCAGCCTGAAAACGCGAAGGGTGAGTTTTTGTGTTCATGCTCCCCTCGCAGTCTTGGGGCTCAAACTGTGCTCTGTGCAGGAGGAACACCAGCTTCTCTGGGAGCTGGTGGGAAAGGCTAAGTCTCAGGTTGCTACCTGAACCCACTGAATCACAATCTGTGCTGTAAGATCCCAGGTGATGTGGATGAATCTAACACACTAGTACATTTCCCGGCCTCAGGCCCTCTAAGAAAGGCTACTGACGTTAAGGTCCCAATTGTTACAAAACTCCATTTCTTGTTAAAATAAATAAATAAATAAATAAATAAAAGGCCCTGTGGCTAAAACTTCATTAAATTATCTCATTTTTTCCTGATGTGTGTATAGGACTTTGTTCAACCTCTAAGGCTTGGGTAACTTTGCTACCTTCTATCTTTTTAGTAATAGTGAATTGCAACTAAATGCATAAAGACAGCATATGTGCTTCTTTCAATTCACCTAACAAACAGTTATTGAACAACTACTATATGCCAGGCCCTGTAATAAGGCACTGAGATACAAACATACATAAGAGCTCTCTAAAGAAAACCATCCAGTCCACTGGGAGAGGCAGATAAAGAAGGTGATACTAAGAGACAGTGCTATTTTGCTGTGGCTACACGGAGGGGCTTCCCCGCTGGCTCAGTGGTAAAGAATCTGCCTGCAATGCAGGAGTCACAGGTTTGATCCCTGGGTCAGGAAGATCCCCTGGAGGAGGGCATGGCAACCCACTCCAGCATTCTTGCCTGGAGAATCCCATGGACAGAGAAGCCTGGCGGGCTACAGTACATGGGGTCACAAAGAGGCAGACACGACTGAAGCGACTTAGCATACACACAGCTGATATACATACAGCTGATTCACTTCATTGTATAGCAGAAACTAACATAACATTGTAAAGCAATTATATTCCTTTAAAAAAAAAAAAAAACACCTTCCTGGTGATTCTAACATTAGCCTGGAGAATACAGGTTTCAGCCCTATCCACTTCAGTTTACACGTCTGAAATACCCTCTACCAGGTGTTTCTACCTCTAGTTTAATTCCTGCTATCTTTCCTCCAATTTCCCTGCCAATTTCCAGTTCATCATCCAACCTGGAATCAAAGGGATATTTCAAGACACAAATCTAGTCCTTTCACTCTCCTACTTAGAACCACCAATGGACTTGACCTATCTTTCCAGTATCATCTGCTGCCACTACATTCACAGTAAACCCTGCCACGCTAAATGCTGCCGTACCAGTCTGACATTTGTGAAAAGACATGCTCTCCCATGCACGACCCCCTAGGTCTTGGCACCTGCTGTATCTTCCAGCTTCCCTCCCTGCCTGGCAAAGTCTCTCTGTCCTTCAAAATCAAGCTGCGAGGTCACTTTCTTTCATCCACTTGTCCACTGGATTTACTGCAGACACGTTTATTGAGTAGCTACTCTGTGCTGGGCATTCTCCCGGGTGCTGGAAGCGCCGGCCTCTCCTCTGGCTGTCTTCTATGTGCTCCCATGACCTTTAGGGTGAATCTCGGCTAAGGTACTTATCACGCTGCAACTTAATCATTTCTTCACCTGTTTTCCCCACAAGACGGGAACTCCTAGAGGACACACCTACGCTTGATTCATCTCTGCCCAGTACCCAGCCCTAAAGGAGTTTAGGACGAGTTTGCTGGCTGCTGACCAGCAGTGAAGACCAGCTCTTCTGGTGTGCATGTATGAACCTATCTCCGCCTGACTGCCCAGTCAGACCCCCAACACCCTTTCTGCTTTCCTGCCTGTTCTCAGCTGGGTTCCAACCTCCTGCTCTGACGGCTGCCTTGCTGCTCTTGAAGCCTCCTCTTTCCTGCTCTCCTGGACTGTAACTGAAGACAATTTAGTAGCACCAAATACCAGCCCATGGTTTAGTCTGTGAAGCGGCCCGGAGAGGGCCTGAAAACCTGTAGCCGACCGACATAATCTGACCATCTTAAGCACAGTCCCGATGGCCCTACAAGGCTTCTCAGAAAAGTCTTTCTCAGGCCATACACCTGGGGAGGGAAAGGATTTAACTCCCACATTCCTGCAAGACAGGCATTCATTTCTCAGTCATTTCTCCAGTCACCTGAGGTCATATATCTTATTTCCATTTATGAAATTTTATTCTCAAGTACACCTCCTTTCAATGCTGATGAAAAATGACACATTTTAATATGAAATATGAGCAAATAAATGGAATTGATATCCTGTGATAGTAATTCTTTCCATACCTGTTTAAATAATTTAATGGCATATGTTCGGTTTTGGATTTCCACTCTGTATACCTCAAAAATTTCCCCTTCTCCGATTAAAAAGTCTTTGTGGAAATTTTTGGTTCCTTCTACGATGTTGTGAAAGCTGATGGAGGATTTTAGCAATATTCCTTAGGAAGGAAAGTAGGGAGAAGATAAGTTATCTTTTTGCTTTTTAAGAATCAGCCATCATTATAAAGAACCAAGACTTCCCTCTTAGAAACAAATCAGAGTCCAGAGAAAAGTCAGTAGAAACAGCCCAGGAGCCAACACCAGAGCCCACCATGAGCTCTCTGCACTCTCACTGGGGCCTGGCTCCCACCATCCCACAGAGCAAATCGCTTTTTAGATACTCAAACAATTACACTGCGATTCTATCACCTTTCCAAAGAGATCAGCCAGACAATTTAGCTGGGGTAATTTTCCTAAGGTTATTTCCTTGTCATTAGAGCAACAGATTACCGGTGACCCATGATGAACCCAAAACCAGTAAAAGAATATATATATATTGAAGTTGAAATCTTAATATGACTAAATAATATTCGCTAAGCATGACTGGTAGAAATATTTTGCATGAGCCAAATCCAACTTACTTCCTCAGAGTAAATTGGGAAGATGCTTCAGCTCTATAAGAAAATCATCTCAAGCAAAGAATAGGAGGAAATATTTCAGAGGTAACCAAATGCAAATTCAAAGGGAGAAGCCTAAATAAATCCTGCAGAGACCAATTCTGGCTATACCTACACATTTCGTGTTTCATTTGGACCTTTTTGCAAAATCTTAAAAGACCATGCATGGGTGGTTCAGATGGATCTGCCTGCAATGCAGGAGACCTGGGTTCGATCCCTGGGGGAGCCCCTGGAGAAGGGAATGTTATCTCACTCCCATATTCCTGCCTGGAGAATTCCACCGACAGAGGAGCCTGACAGGCTATAATCCATGGGGTGGCAAATAGTCGGATACAACTGAGCAACTAACACCTTCATTTTCAAAAGACCATAACCTTATCTAACTTTTTAAATTCTCTCTTGAACCAAAGAAGCATCAGATCTGGTGGGGAAGATTAAGGCAAAGCAGCCTTAAACAGCCACTAAAGTTTATCAGGCTGATTCCCAGATAGAAGGAAATTATTCTCTCGGCTGATAGAATAGGAAAGTTGATCTGGCAAATAATTGTTTTTCATAGTGACCACCAGCACCGCTTTACAATAACCTCTAAAGATTTATCTATAAGTGCTATGAAATTTTCTAAAACTATACAAAACTCAACATAATTTTTAAATGTCTTCCTATGACACATAAAAATAGCAAATGTCATGAAATTATAAGTGAAACCACAATTATGCTCTTTATTGGACAATGAATTTGTAGTATAATAGCAACATATCATCCATCAGAACAATGGATTGGTCAAAATTGAGAGTATTTTGATATCTATGAAAAATTTATCCTGAATCTGCATATTAATGGTTACCATGTTTATTGGATATGTCTAAATTTCACTTAAAGGAATTCATGAATTTACTTAAAGGAAAGCATGATTTAAAGGAAAGTTGGGTTGTTTTTTTTTTACCTTTTTCATTACGTTCAGGAATAAGAATATTATCCACTGTGACATTGGCTGTTTCCTAAGAAAAGAAATACATACTAAAATAATTCAATTTCATACGTCTAGAAAGAACAGAACCTCAACAGAAATCCAAAGCTACCCCTGGGACTACACAGTGCAAGAAAATGGAATCTAATTCAGAAGAAAGCTAGTAGAATGGAAAGTTATTTTATTCTATTCAACAGTATTCACTGCCATATATATTTAAGGCTTCCACACCAACACAGGCTTCCACACAAACACTAAAAACTCAAGTATCAATGTCACAGTCAATTATAGTCAATTTTAAATGACTTCTATTCCTATAAAACTGATTATCTCTAATTTGCTTTAATAAAAACTAACAGTAACATGCAAAACGTCAACTAGAACAGGAAAACTAAAAATTAAGACAAATACATAATTCACAGTACTCTTAAATGTTCTATGACTCATCTCTGACAGATCACTAAGAGGAGAAAGCTCTCAACTCTTCAAACAGTTACCAAAAAATGGCAACCCACTCCAGTATTCTGGCCTGGAGAATCCCACGGACAGAGGAGTCTGGCGGGCTACAGCCCCTGAGGTTGCAAAGAGTTAGATACGACTGGGTGACTAACACACAATCTCCTAAATTCCCAAATAAGTGAAGAAGAATGAGAACAAAAGCTTTCCTGGCTTTAAAAAAGTAGCTGCAAATAACAGCATTTTTCTGCCTGATAGCTTCACTCCTTACACTCGATTATAGATGCAACAGGATTCAAGGGTCATTATCTATGCACACACATTCTACCTTTTGTAACATGTTTGGAAATTCTTTTCCCCGATGACTCTGCTCTATAGGATTCAAGGCCGCTCCTGAAAGAGAAATAAGAGAAGTTAGTTATAACTGTTACGTTCTTAACAACATTTTTTTTTTTCTTTCTTACATTGTGAAAATAAATACCTTGCTCGTAAGGTTTATTTCTCAAGCTCAGTTTCATTCTCATTGAATGGTTACAAATTTCCGTACATGAAAGAGCTTTCTAATGATCGAATATAAAAACATACCTTTGTTCACTTAAAATATGAGCACCTATCTTTTTGTTTGTTGTTTTTTTCTTTAACAAAAAAACATGTGGCATGCAGGATCTTAGTTTCCTGACCAGGGATTGAACCCATGCACCCTTGCAATAGAAGTGTGGAGTCTCAACCACTGGACTGACAGGGCAGTCCATCAGCACCTATCTTAAACTATTGCTGCTGCTGCTGCTGCTGCTGCTAAGTCTCTTCAGTCGTGTCCGACTCCGTGCGACCCCATAGACGGCACCCCAGCAGGCTCCGCCGTCCCTGGGATTCTCCAGGCAAGAACACTGGAGTGGCCTGCCATTTCCTCCTCCAGCGCATGAAAGTGAAAAGTGAAAGTGAAGCCGCTCAGTCATGTCCGACTCTTAGCGACCCCATGGACTGCAGCCCACCAGGCTCCTCCACCCATGGGATTTTCTAGGCAAGAGTACTGGAGTGGGGTGCCATTGCCTTCTCCCAATTACTCGTTATTTCTCCTTAATTTCCACTAATCTGATGTTCCTCAATATTTCCTTGTTTTTCAGACAGTGTATAATATCAAGAGGTTCGTGATGCCCATGTCTTATTGCTGGTGATATTAATCTTGAGCCCCTGGCTAAGGTGGTGTCTGCAGGTTTCTCTACTATAAAATTATTATTAATTATTTTAAACTAATAACTATGTTGGGGGAGATACTGGAGACTATGGATATATCTTGCTTCTCAGATTTTGTTAAACATCATCAAAAATATTAAAATACGAAGGTGAGAATTGACAGGAAGAAAGCAACACTGTTATCAGTTTTCTGTACATACATTTAAAACTTTTACAATTATGGTATTCTATCCCTCTGGGTTAGTTTACTTGTTATCCTATCTTGCACCAGAAGGTATTAGAGGGGTGTCTGTGTGTGCATGTGTGTGAGAGAGAGACCAACCACAAACGCCCACACTCTCCCCAGCTGGACTATTACTTCTGTCTGTTATGGTTCTGCCTGAACTAAGGAAGTCTGTGGTGGCTTCCTACAAAAAATTAAAGCTGCAGCATTTTGCAGTTACTTCTGACATTTTGATTCAGACTTTAGAAAAGTTTTATTTCATTTCCTAGTTTTCCTTAGATTGTATTCTAGTGTTTCTTAGATTAGTTTGCTTAGAAGGCTAGCAACAAAACACAATAACAAACCTTGAACAAAACTACAAACCAATTAGACCAAACAGACTTTTATAGACTTTTATATTCAGACTTTTATATTCCATCCAAAACACAATATACTCATACTTTGCAATTGTACACTGAACATTCTCCAGAACAGATCATGTGTTAGGCAGTAAAATGAGCCTTAATAAACTTGGAAGGATGAAATCATACAAAGCATATACTCTGACCACCTGGAATTAAAGTAGAAATCAATAACAAAAGGAAGTTTTTGAAATTGACAAACACATGAACATTAAACACCAAATTCATAAATAACGAATGAATCAAAGAAGAAATCACAAGGGAAACTAGAAAAAACTTTGTGATAAATGAAAACAAAAACACAACACACCAAGATTTATGGCATGCAGCAAAAGCAGTGCTTAAACGGAAATTTTTTTGCTGTTAATGCTCTCCTTTAAAAAGAGGAAAGATATCAAATAAATAGCCTAAACTTTTGCATTGGGGAATAACAAAGAAGAGAAAACTAAACCAAAGGAAGCAAAAAGAAGGAAGAATTAAGATTGGAGGGAAATAAATGAAACAGAAGAACAGAATAGAAAAACAAAAGAGAAAAATCAATGAAATCAAAGTTGGTTCTTTGAAAATATAAACATAGTTGACAATCCTTTAGTTAGACTGACCAAAAAAGAAAAAAAAGAAGACTCAAATTATCATAATTAAGAACAAAAGACATAACTACTGACCTTACAGAAATAAAATGAATTATAAGGGAATACTGTGAACAACTATTTGTCCAAAAACTAGATAAATGATATCAACAGATTCCTAGAAAGACACAGACTACCAAAACTAAGTTAAGAAGAAATAAGCAATCTGAATGGATCTGTAACAAGGGAAGAAATTTAATTAATATTTTAACACTCTCATAAGGAAAAGCCCAAGTCCAAATGGCTTCACAAGTGAATTCTACCAAACATTTAAAGAAGACTTAAGACCAGTTCTTCACTAATTTTACCAAAATAGAGGAGGAGGAAACAACTCCCAAATCTCTTTGAGGCTAATATTATTCTTATATCAAGGCCAGACAAAACAGCACAAGAAAACTATAGACCAATAACCATTATAAATATAGATGCAAAAATCCTCACCAAAATATTAGCAAATTAAATCCAGAAACAAATAAGAAAGATGAGGTACCATGACCAACTGGGATTCATCCCAGGAATCCAAGGTTAGCTTAATATCTGAAAATCAATCAATGTAATACACATTAGTAAAATGAACAAAACTCATAAAATTCAATAAGCTATCACGATAAAACTCTAGGGAGAAAAAATTTCCTTAATTTGATAAAGGGCATCTGTGAAAAACCTGCAGTGAACATCGTACATAATGGTGAAAGAGAATGTTTTTCCCTTAGATCAGGAACAAGAAAGAAGGTCTGGTCTTGCCACTTTTATTGAATGTTATACTAGAGGCTTCAGGCAGGACAATGAGGCAAGAAAAATAAATAACAAACATTCTGAATAAGGTACTGGTGTATAGAATAAAATTTGAAGCTTTCAGGCTGCAAGGGCACTAAAAGCCATTGTCCTGTTGTTGCACATAAATAGGCAAGACTTCATTGTCAGATAAAATGGAAGATTCAAAATGGCTCTCCTAAGAAGCCAGCAGAAAGCTGCAGATTTCATGTCAAAACTAAAAGACCGGGCTTTGCTGGTGGCTCAGAGGTAGAGTCCGCCTGCCAATGCAGGGGATACCGGCTCACCCTCTGGTCCAGGAAGATCCCATAAGCCTGTGCACCACAACACTGGGCCTGCGTGCTCCAGCCGCTGAAGCCCACGCCCCTAGAGCCCACGGTCCACAACAGGAGGAGCCACCATGGTGAGAAGCCTGGGCACAGCAGCTAGAATAGCCCCCGCGCAACTAGAGAAATGCCGCGTCGCAACCAAGACCCAGCGTAGCCATAAAAAATAAACAGAATTATCAAAAGGAAAATTAAAAGACAACCACTGTTCATTGAGATTTACATGCAAAATGTGATATGGAAGGACATATGCACACACGCTCAGTCACTTCAGTCACGTCGGACTCTTGGGGACCCCACGGACTGCAGCCTGGCAGGCTCCTCTGTCCATGGGATTCTCCATGGTTTGGTTTGTCATGTCCTCCTCCAGGGAATCTTCCTGACGCAGGGATTGAACACACATCCCCTGTGTCTCCTGCACTGCAGTGGATTCTTCACCGCTGAACCACAGGGGAAGCCCATGTCAGGATATGCATGTCAGAAATACAATGACAGCAAGTAAAAACTCTAGTTTCTTGAACAACTTGGTTATGCCCTGAGCTCTGAGGGCATGTTTCATGGATGTGAAGAAACCAGCTAGGGGCACCCACCTGAATTGCAGGAACAGTGCCTGGGAAGAAATACAAGGCCTTTCTCTGTAACACAGTTAAGTCCTCTGCATATGAGCCTTCCAGTCGAGAACTTTCAAAGATGCAAACGTGTTCCCTCAATGTCAGGTGTAACTGCAGCTTGCCGTCCATTTCCTATTGCTAGCAATCCTGCAGCTCTACCATCTCCTGCCTCCTCTCCCTCCTCGAGTGACCCTTCTCACCTGTTCACTCAACGCCAGGCCCTGCAGGCCAGCTGCTGCCCTAGACTACTATACCATTCAGGGTGCTGTAGTGTAAGATTAAACATGCTTTATTTTTTGTGTTTGTTTGCTTTTTATTTTTATCTGTGTGAAAAGTATTATAAACCTATTAAGTACAAATACTTCTTAGCTGATAGTGTGAGTTGGGAACCCAGGCCAACTTTATTGGACTTACAAACAAACTGGATTTACAAATGCACTCTGGGAATGGAACTCTTTGGTATGTAGGGGATCTACTACTCAAAAGAAAATCCAAACCTAGAAAGTGATCTCTAGAGATGGGAATATGAAATGCCAAAAAATCCTCTAAGATGAAAATCACTCCCCCCCCCCAAATGAAACAATTTTAACGAAAAGTAGACAAAAATAGATTATTTGGATAAGTGATAACTCTGTTCATGGTAACAACAAAGAAAGCCTAACTCTTTATGCACTTTCAGTTAGGAGATCCAACTCCTAACTCAGTGAATTGATGTCATAGGAAACACAAATGTAGCAAATTACACTCAAATGTTTCCAATGTGGGGTTTCCCTGGTGATCCAGTGGTTAAGAATCCACCTTCCACTGCAGGAGATTCAGATTCAATCCCTGGTCAAGGAACTGAGACTCCATATGCCCACGGGGTAACTAAGCGCACATGTGGCAATTATAGAGTCCACATGCCTCGACTAAGACCAGATAGGGCCAAAAATAAATGTTTCCAAGGAGTCATCAGCTGGCTGCTTTTAATAAGCTATATAATTTATGTTTATAAGATTATAATTCAAAGCATTTACTCAATAAATTCCAACTGCTGCTGCTGCTAAGTCGCTTCAATCGTGTCCGACTCTGTGCGACCCCATAGACGGCAGCCCACCAAGCTCCCATCCCTGGGATTCTCCAGGCAAGAACACTGGAGTGGGTTGCCATTTCCTTCTCCAATGCATGAAAGTGAAAAGTGAAAGTGAAGTCGCTCAGTCGTGTCCGACTCTTAGCGATCCCATGGACTGTAGCCTACCAGGCTCCTCCATCTGTGGGATTTTCCAGGCAAGAGTACTGGAGTGGGTTGCCATCTTCTCCAAATTCCAGCTAAATAATTCTATTTTCCCTAGCAAAGGATTCAGAACAAAACACTCCTTTTCACGTCAAATTTATCCATCTTCTGGCATTAGGGCAGTATATTGTCTTTCCACCAATCAACTAATCTCACATTTTAAAAAACAAAGGGATTTTCCTGGTGGCACAGTGGATGGGAGTCCCCCTGCCAAGGCAGGGAACGCAGGTTTGATCCCTGGTCTGGGGGATCCCTCACGCCTCAGAGAAACTGGGCCCTTGGCCCACAACCAGTGAGCCCACGCTCTAGAGCCCCAAGTCACAACCACTGAGTCCACATGCTGCAACTACTGAAGCTTGCACACCGAGGGCTGTACAGAATAAGCTGCCGAAAGGAGAAGCCCGTGAACCAAAACCAGAGAGCGGCCCCTGCTCACTGCAACTAGAGAAAGCCCGAACAGAGCAACGAAGATCCAGCACAGCCAAAAATAAATAAACAAAAAGAAGGGAGGAATAAAAAAAAAATACTCAGAAAAAAAAGAAATTTTGCATGTGCCACAGCCTAGGAGTCAAACCAAAGATGTGGAACTTTTGTCCATATAATTTTCCACTGCATAAATAAACAACACAGAGTGTGAAAAGACACTCTGCAATCTATTCCAGAAAACTGAAGTATAAAATATACTGAAGTATAAAATATATTGGTGTGAGTTTAAACTGTGAACAAGTTGCATGGGTGGTTAAGGCGGCTGGACAAGGCTCAGGTAATGAAAAATCATCACTTTACAGCTCCCAGAGACTCAACGGCATTTTGCTAGACCAGTCAGTGTCATAGTGAAGCACTGTGCTGTATAAAACTCAGTGAAGAAATAGTGTGCAACAGATACAAGGTATTAGCCAAGTTATACATATATCACTAATAGGATAATATTATGTTGGAAACCTATGGGAACTGTCTAATACCTAATTCATATGAAAACCCTACAAAATAAAAGTCAGTCTGAAGCTACAGTTTTCTGGTATAAATCTCTCAGGATTTCTTCTCATGTGTGTAAAGCTTCTTTAAGTGATGAGATAGTGGCTTGCCTGGACTAAATATATTATCAAACAGCATGTGTGCAAATACACAGAACTAAAAATATGCCTGGATGAAAGATTCAAAGAATAAGGCTGCTGATCTAAAGGAGCTTCCCACCTAAGAGTCCTGCATCCATAACCTAAGACCCAAGATCACGCAAGATCATTCTTGTTGATGTCAATGAATCCAAAGTGGAATAAACAGAACAAGGGACATTAGGAGATTATTTTATTGACAAAGACTGTACAGGGAAAACTTCACACACTTTACCTCCCAGGTTACTCTAAATGTAAGGGATGACAGCATCAGAAAGAGAAGACAAAGAGAGGGAAGAAGCAGGACATGGTGAAATAGATGTAACCAGGTAAAGCAGAGTTAGAAGCCATGGCATAAACTCAGCAGTGAAGATAACAGAGAAATTCCAGGGTCATTCTGGAGGTTATCATTTGCACCAAAATACACAGGTGGTTGCTGTTGTTTAGTCGCTACGTCATGTCCAACTCTTTGCGACCCCATGGACTGTAGCCCACCAGGCTCCTCTGCCCATGGGATTCTCCAGGCAAGAACACTAGAGTGGGTTGTCATTTCCTCCTCCAGGGAACCTTCCCGACCCAGGGATCAAACCCATGTCTCCTACATTGGCAGGAGAATTCTTTATCGATGAGCCACCAAGAAAGCCCTAAAATACACAGGGGAAATTCAATTATTTTTGTTATTATAGGGTGAAATAAATTATAGCATTATTTTCATTTTATTCATATTGTGGTTCTGACTATGTTTATGACTCAGTTTCAGAGTCTTGGAAAGAGCTGATTCTCTTAACTAAGAATGAACATTTTAAGAAGTATAGCCTGTAAATAAATTTAAAAAAACTATAAAGTGGTGGAAAGGAATTTGTAGTATAAATTAGGCAATAAGAAAAGAAAGTGTCACAAAAATATGAAGCTGCAAACTCCCCTTCAGGTAAAAGCCGTAGGTAAGGAATCACTGACATACAACGTGACCAGTCAATGTCTTGGATAAAATACAATATTTACAAGTTACAATTTATATAAAATGAACCAAGAGCCACATCATTAGAATCAATGCTTACCATAATTTGTAACTAAATGGATAGCTCGATGATGCCCCATCTCTTGGAGGATCTGTAAAAGGTCGCCAATGGTCTTGTTTTTCTGAGCCCAGGACCAAAGCAATTCTCTTGTTCCACTTTTACCTTGGTCTACATATTTTTCAATGTGACGAACATCCAGCCAGCTGCTTGAAAGCCGCTCCGCTGTGGAAATTGCAATAGGAAGAACCAAAGAATAGTTTACTTTCATTGGAGTCCCTGGTATGTTTTATTATTTTATTTACATTTTTGTTTTGAACTAATTTTAGCATGTTCTCCTTACCTAACTTCCCCTAATGTTAAGATCTTACATAACCACAGTACAATGATCAGACCTAGTGGTTATTAAGCGGCAAGTGAAAGTGAAAAGTCACTCAGTCATGTCCAACTCTGCGACAGTCCATGGAATTCTCCAGGCCAGAATACTGGAGTGGGTAGCCTTTCCCTTCTCCAGGGGATCTTCCCAACCCAGGGATCGAACCCAGGTCTCCCGCATTGCAGCATACTCTTTACCAGCTGAGCCACAAGGGAAGCCTAAGCTGCAAACCTCATTCTAATTTCACCCATTTTTCTATTGATGTCTTTTTTCCGTTCTAAGATCCTATCCAGTTTCTCACATTTCAATTACTTGTTATTTCTCCTTAATTTCCACTAATCTGATGTTCCTCAATCTTTCCTTGTTTTTCAGGACGGTGAAATGCTTGTTTCTTTCTCTGTGATGTCCATGTCTTATTACTGGTGATATTAATCTTGATCCCCTGGCTAAGGTGGTGTCTGCAGGTTTCTCCACTATAAAATTATTATTAATTATTTTAAACTAATAACTATGTTGGGGGAGATACTGGAGACGATGGAAATATCTTGCTTCTCAGATTTTGCCTACAAATATTTGCAACTATCAGTGGTTCTTATTAATAATAATCATTACTGCAGGATTTGCTTAATAGTCTTTTTCTATTTCATGCTTTTCCATCTATGTTCATTAACTGGTAATTCTGTAAGAAAGTGTTGTCTCTTCTTTCCCATTTATTTAGGTAATTATCTTTATGAGTGTGGACTCATGGATATTTATTTTATTCTACAAGTTAACATCCAATACTATCATTATTTATTCTGCTGCTAAAATTGCTCCAGCTTTGTCCATTCAGTTTGGCTTCTGCATTCTTCTGACAAGCCCTGTCATTTTGAGAACAGTTCCTTATTTTCTGGCTGCACAAGTTGCTCCAGGTTCATTCTGCATTTTCTCTCCCCTAGTCTTCAATATAATTACTTTTCCCAGGAGTCCTGGTTCTTTTTCTTGGATAATGGTGTTTAGAAAGCAAGAACTAGATGCTAGAGGTATTCCCTGTTGTTAGGTCCTCCAAGCAGACAGAGCTGGGAACACATACATGTATGTGCTCTCACCCATACATCTGTATTTTCCTATCGGTACACACATGAAAAGCCACGATTCTCTACTGATTCCTTTGATCCAAGTCAATACCACACGGCACATGCTAGTCCTGTCTCATGTACAGTTTCATTCTCGCACAGTGAGAAACTGCTCTCATTATCTACAATGTATTTCTTGTTTGTTCCCTTCCACTGTGTACATAAAGTACTTTCAGAATGGCTAACCCATATCCCGGCGAGGAACAGATTAGCTAACCAAATTACAGCATTTGTGTATATTTGTTTTTGTCCTCAGCCTGAGTATTCTGGGCAGAGCTTGTTTTCCAAGGTTACTTAGGTTAGTTCTTTTCTTTCTCATTTTCTTCCGTGTGGTCACTGATAATATATTACTAGTTAGATTCATTTGTTGAAACTTTTATGAAATGCTGTTTAAATTTTTTATTCTAGATTGTCTTGCTGAACATGTTTGAACAATTGAAAGTTATTATCTGGGTAGGGTCTGAGTACGGTCAGGGAAATATGTTCTGCTGGATAATAGGATTTTAATTACTCTAAAACAGTCTCTATGACTTTTTTAGGGTCCCCTATAAATATCTTAAATGGAAGTATATGACTTTTTAAAAAAAGTTTTATTGGAGTATAGTTGATTTAGTATGACTTTTTATGGCACTGTGAGATAATAGGATTCTTCGGGTAAAAAAGTATACAACCTTTCCACATAAATTCCAAATTTTAAAGTGTATCTTAAGGCAAAGGAGTGGGGAAATCAAGCAAATGACAGATGGAAGGTAGCTCTCTGGTCCCTGGGTCGGGACCCGCAGGTTAGTCCAACCATCTTGAGTCCTGAAATGAACAATGTGTTTTAGGGTCAGTGATGGTCATGGCAGCACCCCCCTCATACCTTTATCCTCCAGAAAGTCTTAAAACTCCAGGAAGTCAGATACAGGTCTATAGATCAAAATCCAACTGCCAGCTGAAAGTGGTCACGGGGACCCCAACACCTCACCGTAACCGGCCGTGGGAATCAGCCCCCTCTGCCTCTGACACACGCACATTTGGAAGCTGCCCTCCAGTAGTAACAGAGGCAATCTCACTGCGGGACTCACTTAGCCACCAAAGATGCTCTCCAAAGGATGATGTCCTTTTATAAGGTGAACTATCAGGTGAACAGGCTCTCAGCTCTGAGCAGAGCAATCAGCCTGAGGTCACTATCTTTTTGTTCAGTCTGCTTCAGACTCCACAGGTTTTAAAATTGCTTAAGGAACTACTACACCAGTTACAGTATTTGAATCAAGACACCAGAAAGGTAAATATCTTCTGTTTACTGTGGCATCCCTCCCCCCATGTTTTCAGTCCGACATGGGTTTGCAGGACTATTAACTTCCTTCAGTTTTATGTTTCTGCTGAGATTATAAGTAAATCCTGAGAGGTGAAAGAGATCACAATATGATACCACTGTGCGGTGCTAAGTCACTTCAGTTGTGTCTGGCTCCCTGTGACCCCATGGACTGTAACCCACCAGGCTCCTCTGTCCACGGGATTCTCCAGGCAGGAACACTGGGGTGGGTTGCCATGCCGTCCTCCAGGGGATCCTCCCGACTCAGAGTTTGAACCAGCGTCTCTTATGCCTCCTGCATTGGCAGGCGGGTTCGTTACCACTAGTGCCACATGGGGAGCCCTAACTGATACCACTGCTATCCCTCTTGCTGAGAAAACAGAACAAAACAGATTTGGTAGATAGCCCTAGTGCCCACCAGTACTTCCAGCTTCAATCTCATCAGAGGAGAAGATTCTCCTGCTCTAGGTTGGTGGTTATGCCTGCGTGTCTCTTCCAGCCGGAAACACCGAAGGGCCAGGGGGCAATTCACCAGGCTCCCATCCCTGCCGCAGCCACAGTAGAAGCATGTGTCCTGACATTCTGCACCACCACAGTGGAGACTGGCTCTCCTGGACTCAGCGCTCTTCCCACAAGCAAACAGGAAGCTCCTCTTAGGCTAAGCACTGAGATTTAGGTGCTGGGCTTTTTTTTTTTTAAACTGCAATATAATTTAGATTAACCCAACTAATACATACAAAGTTCTTATCTTGAATGTTTTATTTCAGTCACATCTTATATCCGAAACGAGCGAAAGGAAGTGAGTACAATCAAACAAGGGAAGATAAAGTTTAAATATTCAATCTGAATGCATGCATGCTAAGGCTTAAGTGGGGAGGGGAAGGGAAGAGTTACTACAAAATATCTAACATCATTCATTTAGTTAGAACGTCTTTGGCCTTCTTCCACATTTTAGGTTCTGGCAAGAACATCTTCCTTTCACATCTCTTTGAACAGATGATGTCTAATGAAGAAGCAAGGACTATCCAAATGCCAATATATGTTTGAGACAAAATATCACTAAAAAAAATAGAAAGGTACCTTCAAAGCAAAATATTTGGCAAGACAAATATTTTAATGTATTTTTAGATGATGTCATCTGTCTATTTGATTGAGACACAATTTTATGAACATTTGCGGTTCAGTCACTAAGTCGTGTATGACTCTTTGTAACCCCATGGACTGCAGCACACCAGGCTTCTCTGTGTTTCACTGTCTCCTGGAGTTTGCTCAAACTCAAGTCCATTGAGTCAGTGATGCCCTCCAGCCATGTCATCGTCTGTAGCCCCCTTCTCCTCCTGCCCTCAATCCTTCCCAGCATCAGGGTCTTTTCCAGTGAGTCAATTCTTCGCATCAGGTGGCCAAAGTATTGGAGCTTCAGCTTCAGCATCAGTCTTTCCAGTGAATATTCAGGTTGATTTCCTATAGGACTGACTGGTTTGATCTCCTTACTGTCCAAGGGACTCTCAACAGTCTTCTCCAGTACCACGATTAGAAAGCATTGATTCTTTGGTGCTCAGCCTTATTTACGGTCCAACTCTCACATCTCACAACTCACTCATCACATGAACACTTCAACTCTTTCTAAAAGGTCCTAGAAGTAATACCACAAATCAGTGTCATTCAAACATCTGATGAGCATCTACTGACTGTCAGCAATGCAGTAACTGCACATAGCAAGTGTGAGTGGGGCATGAAGATAGGTCCCTAACTAAAGATGGGGCATCATGGGCTCCCTTGAGGAGTGGTTTCCAGAACCTGAGTCAAGATTAAAACTTTGAGTATTTCTAAAGATATGCCAATTCTTATGGAATAACTGGATAGAGTATACTACCCCGGAGAGGAAAAAAAATCACTCAAGTTCCAATTTGAAAACAAGACAAGAATGACCTCTGAGCCCCATGGATTATATATACTCTCTTCTAATGAGAAAAGTCACCAGTCCAGACATCATTGTGGCCCCTGAATATATGTAGGAACACGTGGGTTTAGTGACGGATCTGTCACCAACCTACAGTTCAATTCCATACAAGTCATAGGCTCATTGAGCAATCTCAAATTTCTCATCAGTTAATGTCCTTTGACAAACAGTCCCTCCCAAAAACAGATACCACATTTGGTTGCCCTTCACTGGCCTGCTGATTTTTAAAAATTATTGTTTTTTATTCATTTGGCTGCACGTGATCTTACCTGTAGTAGGATCTTCAGTCTTTGTTGCATGTGGGGTGCGAACTCTTAGTTGTGGCATAGGGGATATAGTTTCCTGGTCAGGGATCGAACCCGGGTCCTCTGCTTTGGGAGCACAGAAACTTAGCCTCTGGTCCACCAGGGAAGTCCCTGGCCTGTCTTATATAAGCACAGACTTTAAAACACTTTCAGTCTTTAAAACACTTCCCAG